CAGATCGCCGATAGACGGCCGCCGGGCCTGGTCCGTGAACACCTGGTTAGCGCTGGAGGAGTGTGCGGCACGGGTGGAGGAAGATGCGGTATGAGTAGGAGATGCCTTACAGGTGCAGCTCAGGTAGCACAGCGGGTAAGAGCTGCAGCACAGAAGACAGACGTGCAGCGCAGACGTCGGCCGCGCAGACCTCGGCTGCCATTCGTCGCGCGTCAGTGGGTGCGTCCCATGTAAGTTGACCCTGCACGGTCCATCGCCGCACCGGTCGGTCAGAGCTGACAGAGCGGCCACCGACCAGCACTGACGGGTCAGCTGCCGTCTGGTTAGCTCTCTCGCCCGACCCTTCCTCCGCTGCACAGCTGCTCTGTTGTGTGTCGTTTCGATCCGCCGGGAGCTGGGTACGCTCCCGCGGGTTGCAGCGTTGTGTGCTCACGGTTAAAGGAGCCGGTCGTGGGAGGTGCTCTCAGGGCTGCCGGCGGCGGTGCCGGTCTGACTCGGTGTCTGGGCGGCACCCCGCCCTCATAGGTGTGTCCTGTGGGCCGGACGGACCCTCCCCGGCGTCAGGGCCAGCCCGCGGCGAGAGGTGCAGACACGCCAGGGTGTGTCTGCCAGTAATTCGCGCTCCTCTCAAGCATGACTTTTGTCAAGCACTTCCATGTGTGGCGCACTGCGTGCAGTTGATGGACAAACATTATGATAAGCTTAATTAAGCACATCAATTTTCCAGACAGGTAACAACCATTTGATATGAAGCCAAATAAAGCCCGCGTCTCGCCGAACGTGTCCATTGCGGAAGTGACCAAAAACGGCCGCTGTTATCGCCAGATCACACCGTTTGTGGCGAGGAGTGAGAGGCAGCGGTGACGAATTGTCTTCCGTTTACGGCGCGGCGCGGCGGGATCGGGACAGGTCTCCGGCTCAGCCCCACTGCCGAGGGGGAGAGAGACTAGCGGAGCTGTCTCTCCATGAGACATGATCTCCGCGGCGGAGTGGAGAGACATGATGGTCCGACACTGACATCCAGGCGGTGTCTCACGCTAACACTCGAACGGTATCTGGCACTGACACTCCTCAGTATCTGACACTGCCACTCGGGTGACACCATCCAAACAAGGCGCTTCTCGGCAGCGCCCGCTCTCGCCATGACCGGCTCAGCTCAGACCAGTCAGTCGCTGACTCAGCGCTCCAGCAAAATCACAAGACAATCCCTCCCAACAACGCCGAATTATGAATAATCCGATCAGGTGCAACTATTTCGCCAAACCCTGACTGGCGTCTACGGGCGCCACCATATTTGGTCACTGCGTGCACGTGTAAGGTGCATTGTGGTCCAAAATCGGCCGGATTCTGTACCTGGAGCATTCGGCTCTGAAACGACCGTGCGGCCCTCATTTTTAGCGCCGCGGTAATCAGCGAAACACGCCATCCATTCTGCAACAACTTCAGAAGGCGTAGTGGGCGCACGACTCGGGAGTTTGCGGTCTTGCACGCCAGCCGCGGATCCCGATCTGCTCTGTGGCGCTGCTGTGGGTCATGATCTCTATTTTTGCGCCGTGTCAGTTTGCCCGACTTTCATTTGACGCCTGTGCAAACAGCTCGTTTGTTCGGCTGGCCGCTCGGTAGAAACGTGCCGTTGCCGTCAGGCCCTTTGAGGGTATCTCGGGCGGCGGGCGCCTTCACACGGGCAGCGGTCCGTTCCCACGGGCCAGCAGCTCAGCCCGCCCAGCACCAGGTGCCTCCGCGTGCCGCCGGAGCGAACGGCGTGAACGCTCACTAATCTGATCGGCACGACACACGGGCAGATCGCACCCTCGCTCTCGGGGTCACCGTGAGCTGATCCTCGGCCTCAGTACGGGCCTCTCATGACCCGGGGTCACGACCGAGGCCCCAGCCCGGCCCCTGAGGTCACCGACTGACCGGCGCATGTCGACCTAGTGTCTGATGTCCAACCATTTTAGGCAAAACACCGCTCCAGGGTGGCCGTTTTCCTCCGCTCAGGTCAGAGCAAGACAACAGTCCGACGGCGGCTGACCGTCTTCTTTAGAACGTCCAGAGAAAGACAACATCCGCGACGACGGCGTCGTTTTTATGTCCGGTGACGGCGGCGGCGGGTCTTGATGCCGGCACGGCGCTCTGACTGGTATGTTTGTTAAGTCGCCGCTCGCCCGCAGTATCAGCTCCGGGTGTTTTTGTTCTGTGCCGCTGTGCTGCTGACCAGTGGTGTTTTCTCAGTTCCTGCACCGGGCGAACGGTGTTGATGTTGGTGAAGGTGGAGTCCGTACTTCCACAAACACCCAGTGCTAGTGGAGTATGCCGAGATGAAGTCTCCACGGTCTAGTGTTAGAGCATCAGCAAAACGAAGTCACCATGCAGTTTCCGATCGAAGTCAGTACCTATCTTGTGGTATGTGAGGCTTATTCTTCCGTCTGGTGTTATTGCAGTGCGGAAATGCAGTCTCCATAGCACAGTTTTGTGTGTGTACTGTGTAAGGAAGAGATCAGGATATTGCAGCATATACGTTCAGCGTGAAAATATCACCGCAGTCCAGTGGTATATCGTACGGTGTTGAAGTCTTCAGCTGGTGTTACTCGGCACTGCATGGTTGACGTCTCCAACAATTTGGTGTTTGTGCATTACTCAACAATGAAGTCCCCAATTCCCCACCGATTGGTAGTAATTTGTTATGGAATTGAAGTCCTGACAGTTGATTGAAGCGGTAGAACAATATAAAAATATACCTGTATGGACTTTGCATGGCTATAGACTGCAACACTGAGTGCAGGCTGGTATGGACTGCGAGTTCAAACAACTGGCTGTGGCTGTGTCCGGGCGATAACAGCGTCCCGCTTATCATTCCCGCTAAACTGTGGCAATTTCTCCCAAACTGCTACCGACTCAGCCACGCTATAATGACCATTCAAGCTCCCCGGACCGTCTACCGTTACCGCGGCACATCTGTAACCACCGCGGCAGTCGGCAGCAGAAGTACGGGGTGGGTTCAGTTACTGCTGAGTATCACATTGCGGGCCATAACTTAGTCTCGTGACAGCTGCCACGGCCACGTCGGCTGCCGTGTAGGGCACTGCTCCGGGGAGGTAGTGGCGACGGCTGGATGGGACGGCGACGGCTCTCTCTCTCTCTCTCTCTCTCTCTCTCTCTCTCTCTCTCTCTCCTCTCTTTCTCTCTCCCCCTGGGTGTTAGCCTTCTTCCTTTCCTCTTCCCTCTCAGCCCCATACTCCCGCGCTGAGCTCGTTGAGAGACGGACTGGCGGGCGGCCCTGGGCGCCCCGCCAGGGTCGGCTTTGTCCGAGGATTTGCCGGCCCGATGGCAGGGCGTGAAGAAATGCAGATCAGCGCGCTATCACGGCACACACCTGTGGCCCTGGCCGGCCGATATATCCGGGTGGCCTTCCATTGCAGACGGGCGCGGACGGGAGTGGCGTGCCGCCGGCCGGGGAGCAGCCGCGCTCCACTATATCCCCCGGTATCCAGGTGCAGGCTCATAGACCAGGTGCACACCTTCCGACCCCGGAACAGAGTTACCGATGGAATACATCCTATGTCTCACACAGATCCATTGCAGGCCTCCAGGTCTCACGCATACCTGACAAGAGGAACGCAAGCTAAACAAGGACGCATGCAGTCACTAACGGCTGACTGGCTGCTGGCCCGCCTTCTCACAGGTCTGTCTGTCTTATCGCCCAAATAGTAGACCTACATGTATGTTTACCACTGCATAAACAGCACGAACTGCTAACCCACACAGGTCGACCGAGCAGATGGTGAGCAGAAAAACTACCGCTCTGTGTGCCGATCTCTTTCCGTTCACTCTTTCGTGCAACCGCCCATTTTACGGCATTCACAACAGCGCTCGATAGCAGACCTGTGGTTCGCTTCTGTAGGTCACACAATCCTTGATTATGGGCCACGTGTTGAACAGACAAGGGCGGGTCGTAGTTATCAGGTGCCTGGATGTCGTATATCGATGGAGGAGAGACAAGGCTGAGACATCTCACTCTGCACAGTGGAGTGGACGATCCCAGTCAAAGTTACGATGACGGTTCTCTCGCCTGTTCGTCGTTAGCTCGTCAATCGCTGAAAGGAGGAGTAGCCGATCGCGTCGAGGTATCGCGGGCACTTAGACAGGGGAGAAAGGAGAGAAGAGAGGCAGAGGAACGAATCTCTTCGGACCTAGTGATCTGATCAACGAGTGCGTTTTTCAGTCCTTATACCCCTTCAGTTACAGCTGAAAACTACTTAGCTACTGAGTCTCTCTCGCAGTAACACCGTCCATCCGCGACAGGTTAAAAGGCCCCAAAGAAGAGCCGCCATGACGCCCAGACCCGCTGCAATACCTGCAGCCCATCCCTCTGTGACGTCACTGCTCTGGTGACGTCACAGGTCAATGTGCGGCCCGGGTCGGCCGCTGGGAGCGCCTCTAATAACCCCCCGCGGCGCGGCGCCGCTCGTTAGCGGGTCAAACGGAGGCGGGGCTGACGTGCAACACGACCGGCCCGCGCCGCTGCCGGTGGCGAAACGACCCGGCCTCTCACGACCCCGGCCGCCGCGACCCAACTGTGTCAGCACAGCCTAACGCAACCAGCCACACGGCGCACCGACAGATGTAATTGATTACGGCCGACAGCGGCGGACAGTGGGGCTTCCCGCTCCATTGGCACTTATGAAATCAGCGAGCGCTTTTTATTGTTGCGTCATGGCTGATCAGCGAGCATCACCGCCGCAGGTCTGCAGCTGCAAACTGCGCCGGGCCGGTGAACTGTGCCTGTGCTATACCTGGGCCAGGAAACTGTGTTCTATTCCCGAGCCAGTGAACTACCCATGCTACATCCGAGCCGAGCCAGTGACCTGTCCCTGTGTTATTCCCGAGCCAGAAAGCTGTGTGATATACTCGAGTTAGTGAGCCGTCTGTTCTGTGTCTGTGTCACTAAGTCATGATTGTAGACAGTGATATGTGAGTGAGCTGCCTGAGCGGCGCCTTACCTCGTTGGAGACGGAGCCCAGATGGTGGACCTCCTCCTCGCGGCGGCCCGACTCGTGCTCCTCGTGCGAGTTGGTCACGTTGACGTAGCGCTCCGAGACGACCGAGTCGCCCGAGGGGACGACCGCGCGGCCCTCGGACGGCTGCCGGTCGCTGCTCTTCCGGTGCTGAAAACACAGAGGGGTACAGGGTTAGAATAAGCAGACGGGCCAGGGGAAACGACATGGAAAGTGAAAAGAGATAGGGGAGGTGGAGAGAGATGGAGTTAGATAGAGTGAGAAAAATATACAGATCACAAGTGTGGCGACCTTGCATCGTACATACATCCTTGTACATCCTTGTACATCCTTGTCTTCGTCCGCATTCTCAACAACGTCCTCCTGATAATTTGCACGCTCAGCAGTTAAGTACACACACTATACACGCAGTCATTACATTCCATAGCTGCGTCCTGTACAGATCCGCCACACATTCCGCACTGTCGGCTCGTTTCGGGCCGGTACACATTCTGCGGCAGCCCGCGCCGGCCACAGCCAGCAGCGCGCCTTTCCTGGTGGCGAATTTCCTGCTCCGTCCGTTGGCCCTAACCGGCGACTCCGCAGTGAGCGGCACCGTATAAGGGGTGGACGAGAAACTTATAGTTGGGATGATGCAGAAACTCGAGTCCCGCGGAGTTGGGCATGGTAACCGGTGATGGCCGGATGCTATCGGCTGTTTTCGTTGAGAGCTCTGCCCAAACCCTCAGTGCTTCTGAGCCTATTCTGCTCGCACCAATATAGTAAAACTCTCGCCGAGTGCGCAGGTGGTATCTGTTGTCTAAATGGGCTACCACTGACCACTGTTGTAAGCTTCTCCCGTTACCTTCATAAAGTGCCAGTTCACACGGGTACAGTTGGATGACATTGTGTCAGCTACTGCAGTAATCCCGCCTGGACGTGTCGAACACCTGTGCTGCGGCCCATCGCTGTACGGGAGCGCCATTCAAACTCGGACACCGTCCTTGCCGCTGCACATTAGGACCCGGTTCGCTCAGAGACGGCGGCTGGGACGGCTCCGGAAGGTCCCACGGTCAAGGTCGGGACGCCACATACCGGTGTCGCCCGGACACGCAGCTCTGAGCGGGCGGAGCGGGCTTCCCAGGCGGCCTCAGATCCGGCCGGTCGGCTGGAGCGGCTCAGCGCGGCGGCTTGCATTGATAGGGTACTGGCGGCGCCGCGCCGCTCATTAAGCCGTAACAACCGGTCGACTGGGCACGACCTGGCCGCCCAACGGCCGGCCATTCAGCCGACACCGGGGTCAGGCCAGTTTCAACACGGATTAACGAGCGCGCGGTGAGTCATTAGATCACAAGGCCATCAGCTCGGCGGCCCGGCGGCTCGGCGGCTCGGTGGTGGCGCGGCCCGTGCCGGCCGGCTCAGACCCGCTTACTGGGCACGTGGCGCCGCCAGGACGGCCCGGGCCGGCTACAGCGACCACAGGACGTCACCGGAGCGGCGCGACGTGGCAACGGCACGCCATCTTCCTCTAGTCGTCGGTCCCCGACCACTAACCAACACAGACGAACTACACCGGCCGCCGGACGGGACCGCTAACCGCCGGAGTATCCCCGCAGAAACCATGATCGATCGCGTCCTTAATGCCGCCTCGGTGCAGGGTAATCCGATATCAGATAGCCTGCCACCGTCAGTGGCTGGCCTCGTATGCACAGTGCAGCGCTCGGTGGGGTGGAATCGGTGCCGCGGGCGCCCGCTCTCATGTTGCGTGTGTCGCTGCTGAGCGATCGGCGTCTGCCCCGCGATGGACCGGGGCGGACTGGGCACTCCCGACTGCTGACCTGACCTGTATTGGAGGGCAGCGACCCTCACCGCACTGCCCACCCGATGTGTCTGAATACGGACTGAGCTGTGTGCGGCGGCCGCTCAGATAGCGCCCCAGCTGACAGCTGACGGACAACCGAGGCGGGGAGGCGGAGAGAGACGGCGTCCCACGGTCCAGAACAATGTATCAGCGCCGGCCGTCAGTGGAGACCAGACGTCAGGTGTCAGTGGGAGACGGCGAGCCGCCGGACGTCAGATGTCAGTCAGTAAACGCCGGCCGACGGCCACCAGTCAACTACTCGTCAGATGACTGGTCGTCAGATGTTTGTCAGCAAACACCAGCAGACAGCCACCAGTCAGCAACCATCGGTCGTCAGATGTTAGTAAGCAGCCGGCCGTCAGATGTCAGTCATCAGATGCACTGTCATCATTCACCAAAGTTGTCTGTCGTCAGTATATGTAGAGCACCATCTGGCAGTGTTGTGGCAGTCTGGCCAGTTGGCACACCATTTTTACCCCATTATCTTTCCGCGCTGTGGTAAAATGACCCACTAAGACCACGCTGTATTAGACCCAAACCCCTCCGTATCCGTGCTATTATTCTCCCTCCCAGCGCCGCGGCGTTCTGTCATGGTCCGGTGCTGCTCTGAATAGTACCGTCAGGACTGACAAATTGCACTGAGAGTTGATAGAGCGTTATGCCACCGGCCCTTTGAGGGAGCCCCCATACGTCATGAGACCCTTTTAGCTTCTAGAGCTGCTGCGCTGCAGGGTGTAACTCGGAAGCCGAGGAGAGAACTGAAGTGGGTTTGCCCTCTCTCCTAAACCGGGCTCCTATCTAGCGCAGAAAGTCAGACCACAGAAGAAAGGGAGAAAGAAATAAAGAAAGAAAAGTCAAAAGAAGGGAAGGCAGAAATAATGAGAAGATTGAAAGGGATACAGACACAAAGGGATGCAGGCGCGGACGACCGGGTGCTCTGTAGATGATGTGAGGTGCTCCGGAGGAGGGCGTGGAGGACTGAACGCTCTCCGAGAGGACCGCGCGCTCCGGAGGAGGACGCGGAGGACAGGCGCTCTGGAGGAGGACAGGGTGCTCTGTATGAGGGCGCGGAGGACAGGTGCTCTGGAGGACAGGGTGCTCTGTATGAGGGCGCGGAGGACAGGTGCTCTGGAGGACAGGGTGCTCTGTATGAGGGCGCGGAGGACAGGTGCTCTGGAGGAGGACAGGGTACTCTGTATGAGGGCGGGGAGGACAGGCGCTCTGGAGGAGGACTGGGTGCTTTGTGAGGACAGGGTGCTCTATAGGAGGGCGCGGAGGACAGGGTGCTCTAGAGGAGGGCGCGGAGGACAGGGCCGCTCTCCGCCGGGTGCTCTGGAGGAGGGCGCGGCGCGCCGCCGCCCATCACGGGCCCATCTGTCATCAATTACCGTCTAACGGGAGCGGAGCAGGCGTGCGGTCCGCCCTTGTCCGCCCCGCGCGGGCGGGCGGGCGGCGAGTCACTGCGTCTGTCTACAGACGCTAGGCTAGGCCGCCGGCGATGGCAGTCTTTAACAGAGGAAACAATGAGGGAGGCATCACCCCCCCCCCCCGAAACTCCTTGAGATCGAGCACGTCAGGGTAGTTGTCACTAGTGAGAGGTGACAGAGTAAGAGGTGACCTGATTGGGATAAAGTACATGATCTGTTATGAAAGGCTAACTAAATGTAGCGATAGTTTATGTAACGATAGCTCTGGATTCGACAGCTAACAGCCATCGACGGCGTTGCCTCGGGTACCATCTGTCAGAGGCGATCATGTGACAGGAGCTGACGTTTGTCATATAACAGAGGGCGAGGCCACAATCAGCGCCGCCCTTTGCGTCGGCAGCGAGGGAGGTGAGCTATCAAAGATCGGCGTTGGCGTCAGAGATTGATGAGGCGGAGGCGGTCAGGGCCATCAGAGCCGAGGTGACAGCTCGGCGGCGTTTCACAACAGGCCGGCGCGGATCGATCGGAGGGGCGTCTCAGCGGGTGGAGGGAGGCGCTGACGCCTGCTCCGGGCGCCGGTCTGTGGTAGCACAGCGGAGCCGCTGTGGACTCTCACGTGAACCCCCGCTCGGAGCGGAGGCTGATGAGCGGGGGCGGCGTCAGACGCCAGCCCGGCCTGTCGCCACGGAGTCGTTTCACCACTCAGTTTGGACGCGCGATTCGCCGAGAGGCGGCACCAGTCGCCCCGGCACGTGACGCGACTAATTTAAGGCCTCCTACGCCGGCCACCAGTTCAAACAGCAGCCAAGGCCGGCACTAATCAGCACCATTAGTATACGGCGCGCGGCGGCACCCCGGAGAGCGCCGAGTCATCGAGTCATGCGACCGGTCGCAGAGGCAGATCGGGGACCGCGGACACCTGTCGTATTCGTCCGCCGCTAACGGCGTGAGGACACACATGGACACACACATCAGGGAGGAGTCATACGGAGACATGCGTCCGGAGAGCAGAAGAAACCGGCTGAGTTGGTCCATTCATGCGATGATTGATACGCAATAACTCAGCGATATCGACCAGTTGGTAACAGTCAGTTGCCATTCAATGGCAGGCATACAAGTTTGAAAAAAAAAATGATCTTGCTTGATCCCGAGCGAAGTAACATTAGCGTTGTGCTGCGAAAGAGCAACGCAAGTAAGTCGGTTATTCTATTTCCAAGGCTTCGCATCGCGACAATTATTTAAAATGCACTCAGGCAATGTTTTCTGTTTTAAGACCACATTACATAACAAAGCTCCTTGTTAGTTGCTTCACAGTAAATGACAGCGGTTGACAAAACCGGGCGGTGTCATACAATGGCCGGCATTACTTCCTGTCGAACAGCGGTCCATGAAGCGAGTACGGCGCCGTCTGACACGACTGACATCGAGCCGGCCTGTCAGTCGGCAGGGCGACCGCCCGGTCTGTGACCGCGTATAGAACGACCCGGGGTCATTTGTATCCCGCAGCCTGTCACAGAGGACCGGCAGAGAGACGACCCACCGGTCAGCGCCCCCTGGTCGTCCCTGCTCGGGGATCCCGTATAACTCAATGTCGGATCCGCGCTGCCGCTGCGCTTATCCGAGATGATAACCGTCTATCGACTGAATAAAACGCCAGACTGCGATTGGGTGGCTGGTCGGGTATACGGATCAACTGTCCCCTAGCAGATACCAATATACCATGCGGCGGTTTGGTTTTACATTGAGCAAATACGGCGAATTCTATCCAAATAGCCAAGTCACGACACAGCCGTTCCTGCATAATGTTTGTGACCACGAAAAATGGCCTCCATAGCACACATTCAAAGCTGCGTTCTCCCTGACAGTGGCTGTGACAGCCCATGACTGTTCTGTCTCTGAAGGACAGCCACCTACATGACCCGATCAACAGAATGACGCGGACATTAATTGTAATAAGATACGGTCCAACTATCATAGTCATGTGGTCAACGGCCGACCTGACCAACCGCAACGAACAGCCACTAACGAGATTGACTGACAAGCTGACGACGGCTTAGCTTAGTTAGCCATGCCAAACACCGATTTCAACAGCCTATGAATATTGAGGACACGAGCCAACCACCATGACCAACCAATGTCTCTTGAACGACGCCAACATTATGTATTCACTCAGGGGTTCAGCTTAGTAAATCTCTGATCGGATACGAGTCCGTGTCCGCGAATTTTTACTTTACGTCGTCAAAAACAGTAGCTCCGTTCCAAACTCCTCTGCGAGTCGAGCCACGTTTTGCACATGCTCGGGTGACATGAAGGTGATTGATCAGCCACAGCGTGACCAAAAAAGAGCACAACAATCGTGAAATTAGAATTGCGGAAAGACCAGAGTGCACGGATTAAGCCATTGAAAGCCATGGCCTGCATCGCTAGTCATACACGATTGCAAAAACGTGCCACGAAGTGAAACAAACGTGATGACGAAGTCAAAAAGGTTACGACTAATGCCCAGGTAAGATCCTCCTTTTTACCTCGTTAACTCCCGGAGCGATAACACTGTCATCTCGAGCAGTGTGACCCAGGTTCACTCACCCGTCCGCGTGACATTATTCAAAGGCGGGTTCCCACGGTCCGGAGTCAGCCCCGCCGGAAGGAAACTCTTGGCCCGTACCTATCTCCGAGGCGGCCACTCACCCGGAAGACGTTTTTGATGTTGTGCGCGATGTCGTGCAGCACGCCGTGCTGTCGCTGACGGCCGTGTTTGTCCAGGTCGCGCGTCACGTTGACGTTCTTGACGCCGTCGTGGCGCCGCTCAGTCGAGCGCTGCCGCTTCAGGATGCCTTTGCGGTGCGCGCCGTGCGCCGAGCTGCGGCCGCGCGACGAGTGGCGCCGCTCGTCCGGAGACTCGAGGCTGCTGGAGGAGGCGGAGGAGCGCCGACTCGCCCGGCCCGCCACCACCAGGCTCGGCTGGGAGGCGGCGCGCGCGGCCGGAGCCGTCGCCAGCGGCTCGGTCAGGTCTGGCGAGGAGCGGTGCCGTGCAGACAGCTGGAACGGCAGGTTGGCGTAGTGCGTGAACGGCTCCTGTGGCGGCTCGCGCTCCTCAGCCGGGTGGAACAGGGACGGCTGTGAGAGGGCGCGCCGCTGCTGGATGATGGGCTGGATCGGCTGCTCCTCCTCGGGTGGCGCGCGCGGCCGGCCGCGACTCGTCTCGTTGGTGGCTTTGGGCGGCGCTACCGGCGCCGGCAGGTCCAGCCGCTCGTTGTTGCGCGGCTCGTCGCGGAAGCTGTGGCTGCGCTCGGTCGGCCGCCCGACGGTGGCCCAGCCGAGGGAGGAGAGCCGGCGCGATAGACTCGTTCCGCCGGCGCCGCTCCGGTGCTGTGTGCGCGGCAGAGAGCGATATGTAGTCCGCTCCGTGTCCACCTCGGCTCGCCCCGGCTCCACCGTCAGTACCTCGTGAGACTTGGCCGTCTTCAGCTTGCTGTGACGCGCCGGTCGCTCCAGCGAGGACAGTGATGACGATGATGCTCGCTCGCGTTTCTTCACAGGCGCTGGTGACGGCTTGTCGCGAGGTTTCAGTGAAAACTTGCGCCGCAGGAAGCCCATGACTCCGGCATTCTTTCTGTCGCCGCTGGACTCTGAGACTCGGGTGCGGGACCGCTGCGATCGCGCCGCGTACCTGTCGCCGTGCCGCGCTGAGCGGACTGTCGAGCCGCGCGAGCGGGCCGTCATCGTGTCCGACAGAGAGCCATCCGAGTCGGCCCGCCACACGGGCGCGCGCGGAGACGAGCTGGAGAGCTCCGAGGGCGCGCGGCCGGCCCGCTCGTTGGGTCGGTACCGGCGGGCCCTCGGCGGACTCTCCTGGGGCGCCTCTCCCAGCGGCTCCAGTCGGCGCGTCACGTCGGCGCTGGAGGCGCGCTGAGAGCGGGTCGGCGGACTGGAGCGGCGCGGCGGGCGGTTCAGGGTCTGTGTGAGACGGCGACCCGACGGCGGAGCGTCGGCACGCGCCGACATGGAGCGCGCGCCCGCCTCCGACCGCCGGTGCTCCACGCCTTTCATCATGATCACACTCGGTTCGTACTCGTCGCCAAAGCGGATCTCTCGCTTCTTTACCGGCTCCGGCTTCACCTGAAGCGACTTGGAGCGGCGCAGGGTGATGCGCGGCTTCCACGAGCCAAAAATGGAGCGAGACTGCTTCCCGGCCGGCCGCTGACTCGCCTGCGAGGCGCGCGAGTCGGGACGCACATCGCGCGCTTCGCGGCCAGAGCGGATCGAGGACGACCGCTGCGGCGCGTCGCGGCGGCTGGACTCGCGACGGCGCAGGATCAGCGCCTTGGAGGAGGTGCGAGACTCGGGTCGGCGGACTTTGGAGTAGGACGAGCGGCGGGTGGAGCCAGCGCGCTGGCGTGACGCCCGCTCCGACATGGCCTCACGCGAGCTGCGCGAGGACGGCCGTCGCCCGGCGCCCGAGCCGCCGCTACTGCGGGACGCCTGGGACGACGGCCGGGAGAGGTCGTTCTTGTAGAGTTTGCGCAGCTCGCGCTGTCTCGGCGGCGCCTTGTAGACGGCGGGCGGCGGCACGACTGGCTGCGAGACCACCAGAGAGGAGGTGCGCTTCACGCCGCCGGGCCGGCTGCGGCCCACCGTGGCGTATTTGACCGGCGGCGGCTTCATCGAGTTGGTGTTGGACACGTAGCCGCTCGAGTTCTCCATGGGTTCCGGGGAGACCTTCTGTAGCATGGTGTGAGCTGGATGGGCGGGCGGCGCGTCGCCTGCCCTACCGACGGACGCGGCCGGCACACGACCCGCGACCCTCCCTCAGACACCCGCTGGCGCCGGGCGGAGCTGCGGTCCGACACTGACCGCCGCCACACAGCGGCACCGGTCCGGCACTTTTCACTGTCACCGCGCCCTCCGTCCCCCGCCCACTCCGCGACTCTGGGCGGCCGGCACGCGCTCACATTCCACGCGCCACCACCTCCCGTCGGTGACTGCCGCCGCCGCCGCCGCCGCCGCCGCCACGGCGCTCGGCCGGCCGGTCAGTCAGCAATGACGTCACGTCAGCTCTGATATGGACAAAACGCTGCCCGCAAAAGGCTGGTGGCGGTGAGTGCGAAGGCACGCGAGCAAACCCGCAAAAGCCACGGGGAAGGTCCTCAATGTTTGAGAGCATGATTTCTACAAAAGGCCAGAGCCCCGCGATGAATTTGCATTTTCTCGATCGGGATCACTAGCCAATTTTTGCGTTAGAGATTAACATAAAACATCATTTCATTAAGATGTTATCATTTAATTTTAAGATGAACCGATTAGTTTGTATATTATGGCGAATTGGATCCATTTTTAGCGAGTAAATTTGTTGAAGTTCCACGCCCTCTCCTGAAGGCCGAACGGCCTTTGATCAGTCGCCAGTTGTTGACATGTGTCCCCGTTCCGAACTTGCACCAATAGCTCATTCCTCAGTCGCTGCCTTTGTTGCAACCCTATCGTCCTTGAGCCATAGTGGAATCTAGTTAGTCCGTGGTTGAAATTCGGCTCACGCCTGCCATTTGTGCCGAACTGGAGAACACCTGTTATACCGAGCTGGCGAGTTTTCGTGTTAAAAGCAATCACAAGTGCCGAAACGTTCTATATAAAAAGCACGGGTGTGTTTTCAGCCGGCGTGTACCGCCCCCTCTCTCTCTCCAGCTAACAGACTGCCGCAGGAGGCGTTCTCTCCTTTCTCGGGCAGCGGCTGGCGCCGGCGGCCTCCGGTCAGGATACCAGCGATGTGAGTCAATCAGGGGCGCCCGGTCGGCGCCGCCGACAGCGCCGCTCGGCCCGCTCCCCAAATACGGACTCGGAGCTGCTGGCAGGTCAGCCGGCGGCCTCCAGCTGTCGGCGTTCAGCGCAGCGCAGCGGCATCGTCTACTGATACCGCTTGCCGCACAACCCGGCCCACTACTGCACTGAAAACCCACTCGCATCTCCGCAATTATCTTGCAATGGCAGCGATTCTCTCGGATACCGCACGGGACCTCTCGGCGGAGCGTTTACTCTGCCAAAACTGGCCGTCCGCATGACTTCTCCGGTCATCCGCAGTGCAGCGGTGCCGAGGGCAAGGGCGGGCCGGACCAGGTGCCGCCGCCACTGCCGCTGCGGCTGCCACCCGCAGCGGCGGCGGTGGAGGCAGAGGCGGTACCTCTCTGCTATCGGCATCGTGCTTTGTGCAGCGTCATTAACAAGGCTTCCCGGAGAGGCGCCGCCGCCAGCAGCGTTCGCAGCAAAATCAATACGATCCGAGTGTAATGAGGCTCACATCTCACAGCCACAAGGCCTCCGCCCGACTAATGCGATGATGAGCGAGATTGGACGGTGAATAATGTGTCTGGTAATATCTCCGAGTACCCCAGCATTTACCTTTCACTGAAACATCCATTACAGTATCGATCTGCAAAGGAGATGTAATTATTCAGATAGCACAGCTGCTGAGATGAGGGGTTCATTAGCGTTCTTTTTATGTCTACTTCATTCGCATCTCTCAATATCAACGGTGCATTCTTCTCCTCTTCATTATATTTTAGATTTAATGTAATGACGTGGTACGGTTGCTTAATATTAATTTGTCCAACCAAATGTTGAAAGGCAACACGCCCAAGCAAGGTTTAGCTCCCAAGCGAAAAGGCTCTTTGATGCTTGCATATTGTCATTTAACGATCACTATCGCTCTAGTTTTAGCTGAGCAAATTTCACATCCGGTATAAGCTACTCCATCTTCAGCCAGAGATCAGTTACAGCATCTGCAGGAGAGCCATTTAGCCGGCAGTTCCGGATCCGGTGGCCGTGAAGAGCAGAACTGAAAGGACAGCCCACCCACCTACATATCTACCAACACCTATACACACCATGGCCACATGTAGCTACTTAGCTACTTACACCTATTGTAAAGTAAATGTCCATATGTCAAACGTGTACTGTCCATTCACACTTCCCTCTGTCGATCCATCCACCTGCAGGTCTGTCCACCCGCCCGTCCACCTATCCATCCGCCCGTCTGCCCGTCTGTCCACTCGCCCAGTCCTTCCTCCAGCCCGCCCGAGCCCGCCCGTCCGTCCGTCCACGTGCGGCTCTGTCCGCCCGTCTGTCTGTCCGTATTGTTCTGGGACGGCCCGGCGGCCGCCGCGCTCCCCGGGACGCCGCGCTGATGGATGGCGGAGACGGCGGCGCCAAATGGACACGCCGGCCGCCACGATCGAGACGCCGCTGCGCCGATCTGCTTACGCAAACGGCGAATGTGACGCAGTGAATCAATCTCTGGCGCGCGCCGCCCGCGCCGCCCACGCGAGCCGCTCGTTCCGATAACGGCTCCGACTGGAGCCAGTCACTGCTGGCGGCCGTCGTCTGGAGGAGACGAGACGAGACGAGAGAGCACAGGTGAGGCGGTCCGTCTGCCAGTGCCGGGTGTCTCTTCGAGAAAAGCTGAGGGTTTATTCAGGGTTTGTTCGTTGTCCGTTTGCCCGTTCGGCTCCCTCGTGGCTTGGTGGTCCGTGTGATGTTACGCTCGGCGTCACTTCACGGCCCACCTGCGATCCAACGAGGGTGTAAAGCTGTTTTAGTGATAGCCAGTCCGAGAATCTACCTCCCACGAACCGCTGAATGGAGCCATCAGTCGGCGGTGGGCCGGTTAATAGCCCCCACTGTGAGCGTGTCCGGCGCTACTGGCCCTCTGACCGAGCTGTCTGCAGATCACTGAGGCGATGAGAGCGGCCGCCACTGACGGTGGGGTCCGACCCCAGCTTCTCTCCCTCCCCACAGCAGCCGGTGCCGGGTTCCAAAAACCGTGTAGTCCGAGAAGAGCGTCACCGGAAGGTGGTAGGGTTGGAGACGCCACCGCGGCGGTGGGTCACAGGCGGTGATGTCACTGCCGGATGACGTCATGCGACGTCACTCATACAGTCAAGTCAGCGGGTGGGAAGAGTGGGTCACCCCGCCTCTAAAAGGTGCGTCAACCGGGTGCACATAACCAGGCGGACGTCTCCCTCTTGCTGCATGAGCAACCAGACTCGGAGAAATCAAGGAGACGGTGACATACTGGGCTAACCTTTCACAACACGTTTGGGACACCATCGATCGAAGTGAGAAATGCTAAACACCCTTCATTCTGGGCAACATCCGCTTCGTGCAGATGAATATGATGGAGATCCACAGTAACCTAGACAGGCAGGCAGCCAGCGACCTTGTAATCAACAGCTCTATGTATGTTTTACCGCTTCAGTATTCGGTTTGGCTCGCACATTTTTGTTTTGATATATAAGATGCTCTTCTGCGGTCAATTTTGGAGTGCCGGAGTATAATGGTCGGACTCACTTTTCCAGTGAATCATGTCTCCTGAGTCCTGCTACTCCTACCCGCTCTACTGGTGACTATGCCCCGGAGCCAGCACCCCGCCCTATCTCCTCCACATACTCTGGCGGCGCATGAGTGAACGGCTGGCCGGGCGCGGCGGCTCACCGTCTCAGACCTCGCCGGCGGCGGCGTGGCGTCACCGACCCGGGCGGGGGCGGGGGCGGGGGCGGGGGCGGCACTCGCCGGATCTCGGCGCGGCCCACACACCCGCCGACAGACTGCCGCTCATGGCAATCCAGTTACAGCCCGAAGCGGACAGACCCAGACCAGACGGGTAACCAGACCCAGACGGCGAGCAGATGGTCCACCGAACTGGTTCAAACGCAGCTCTTGGAACCTACGCACCAGGCTATGCATCGTAAAGCGTCAACAGACAGATAACCGGAGCAAACATGAGATACTGGGCCCTAAAGAACTACGGATAGGTGACAGTTCACGCACGCAGTGCATTTAAATCTCTGGCGACAAAGATAGTCCAGCACTAGCCACTCTCCGACACTCCGTTAGAAAATAAGGCCCCACTCTCAACAGTCCACTGTCCGGCTACATCACGTGATCCACTGCTAGTGCCCCTCCTTCCCCGAAGTCACTCGACTCTGCAGACAAAGCTAATGGACCTGTGCACGTACCGACATACATACGCCGAACCGTAACCGTGTTGTCGCCGCAGTGGACACTCAGGTAACGAGGCTGTTTATTGTCACCTGCACGCGCAGATGGCCTCCACATATCATCCCTGTCAGCCGGACACGCCGTGCCTTTTAAGTCGCCTTTCAGAGTCTCAATAACACAGAGAGTGCAGCTTCGTGTGGGGCGGCGGTATCAGCCTTGTTTTAACGAACAGCGCCCGCCCGAAGGTATTTTATCAGACGCATCGCATAACAGAATCTGTTAGGGCCTAGCGCTTCTTGAAATCAGTTGAAATATCTTCGCGAGTTGCAACATCTCTTATCAAGGAGATCGAATGGTAACTCCGATATTTGCGAGAAACTTCTTAGAGTGCCTAGAAGGTGTTGTGCAACGCACTGAAATTGTAATGTGTAAGTGCATCATTGCTAGCGGTCGTGAATGCACGCTGTCATGCAATGAGACCGGTCGCCTTCGACATTTGAGTTGGTAAAGGCCATCAGTCGTTAGGCACCCCGAACGAGGCCAATAAAGCGCGGCGGCCGGGTTTGATGGCGCTCTGAGCCCGCGGAGTCGGCCGGCGCGTCACCCGTTGACCCGCGATGGGGCGGACCGCGGCGGCGACGGGTCGGCGGGGTGACCTCTGTGACCCCGATGATCCCCCCAGTGAAGGTGACCGCCGCACGCGACCGCCGCGTCCGAGACTGAGACCGCCAGCCTGCGGCCCGGGCTGAGATGGCGGTGACGCCATACGGTCTGGGCGGGAATGACGTAAACGCCGCACTTTAACCTTAGTGACAGCATTACGTCCCATCCAGACCCGCCTGACATAACCAACCTGGTCGGGTCACCCAGTGGTTAGCCGTAATCACCACACGTGTGGTGATCTTTGTTTTCCGTCTGTGCCTGTCTATTTTTATTGTGAACCATCTTCTAGTCTTCTCGACTCTGCAGGTCTTACGTTCGTTCACGGTTGGTCT